TTTTACTGTGAAAATTTTGTCATTTCTAAAAAAAAATTATATATATTATACACTATTTACCACATTTTGGTTTAATTAGTACCATTAGTTTCGTTTAATCACATACTCCATGCTTGCCTTTCAGCGCGAGTACAACTGTTTATACTTTTGCCTTTCATTTCAGCCTATCGGTACATGTTACGCGAAGGAGGGGTTTTCTCACTTTGGCGTGGGAATGGTCTCAATGTACTTAAGATGGCTCCAGAGACGGCTCTTAAATATGCCTCATATGAGCACTATAAGGTTTGGCTGGCTGGGCGTTCTCCACTCCCTGGAGTTGGTGGCAGCAGTCTGTGGCTTGCTGAGATGCTGGATGGTAGACCACTGCTAACCAAGTTTCTCGCAGGATCACTCGCCGGATCCACCGCCCAGACGTTTATATATCCCATGGAGGTAAGTGCGAGCCCTATTTCTTACAAAATATGCCATAATTTGCTTCTCATGTGTCAACTTTTTCTTGCACAAAATTCACTTTTTTTCTTGATTCAATTCCATCATTGCTTTATCATTTTTAAATACCAACACAACTTTTCCAAATTCTTCCCTTGTTTCCGTAATATAAATTACTTATCGACTCTCGAACAAGTAATAATTTAATTGAAGGCGCAACTTTGTATATTGTTTTATTATTTTGATTTCTACTTTAATTTTTCCTGTTGGGCTTCTCGACTAGTTATTTCACTCAAGCGAGTTGGTAACTAATTATGTTTAAATTGTCCCGTAAAATACCGTAAACTATTTATTTTTTTCATCCATTCTTTAAATACCACTATGCTTTTGTCTCATTGCTGCACTGAAATTTGCCTTATGGTTCAAGCTCTGTGGGCACTACGGGTCTTAGGCTGATATACGATGGTTTTAAAATGTCTTAGAAAAGACTTGACTGTTCACATATTTCTTCTTAAACGTATTATTATTATTATTTTAAAAACAAAAATGCTAACATTATTTTAGGAAGCTTTTAAGATTTCCCTTATTTGGCTTATTTATTGTTCAATTAACTATTCCGATTTGATTCACATTTGGTGGGTTTATGCATTTTAACTAGATCTTAAATAATAAGGTAAGGAAGAAATTTTTTTACAATTATACGAGTTGGCTTCACGATGAGATTAAATTCCAATTAGCTTTGTCACTGTGAAAGAGAATAGCTCTTGAGGCAAAGTTAAGTATAATTAAATGGCCTAAGGAGACCCCATTTAATTGTGGTAAAATGTATTTACTATTCCTTCATCGTATCCAATCGAGAGTGTGTATACAATCCTTATTTTATTTATTTTATTATTTCTGACAGTCAGCTGATCTTTTATAGGGATGACTCAGTGATATTTTTAAGTCAGTAATCCATTGTTTTCTAAGGTAAGAAAATGAAAGACTA